TCGGATTGTGCTTATTCTTAGTTTATAAATTATATAAATAAATAAAATAAAATAAAGTTTAACCTGTGGGGCCCGTGGGTCCAGTAAATAACGGGCCGGGTAAAGCCCGGTTTCAAAACTCGAAATCCTTCTACCCTGACTGACCCGTCCTGTTACTTTTTAAAACAGGTACGGTTTGATTCCTTCAAAATTGGGCCCGGCCCAGCCAGTGCCCAGCCATAGTTGCATGGATTCCATATTTGAATGCGTTTGCATACAGAACCACGTGGAACAATGGTACAAGGATGCAACTTTGGATGATTAGCATATGGATATGCCATTTTATCCGTTTGAAACGTTAAGATGGTGGTGTACCGTGAAGATTAAAAGATCCAATGCATCGCAGTGATTAACATTACGATATCACAAAAAGTAAGAAGATAATGCGTGGTAGTTCATGATTATTATTTCACAAGGTATGGTTCGCGGAGGACTCTACAACTTGGTTATCTGGTCATCGTGAAAGTTCACCTTTATAAACACGGACAATCTGCAATGAGGACATCTCTTTTAAAATCAACATATAAATTGCATTGCGCGAAGCTTCTCAACAACCTTGGCGACATCTTCAATTTAGATAGACAACACTGGAGCCGTAGAATCAGCCGACCAAGAAGCACCTTCAGTTTGGATAGACAGCATTGCTTCGAGACCCACTGGTTATTTATCCAAGTCTCGGTCAACAAGGATTTCTGAGTCCTCGTTGGTGTAGGTCATCTCATCAGCCTTCTCGGCGAAGTAAGGTGTTAACAGGTTACTACATTGGGCACATTGAAAGTCGAATTTGAAATTGAACTTTGCAGAACTAGCAACCTTGTTTTCAAGCTCTAGAACCCGAAGGCCGAGACGTGTTCATTCCTCAGCCACAGTCGCAAGATCAAGAAGTCAGCAGCGCGCCCAACACCACATTAACATATTTTACTCCCCAGCCGAACCCGGCAAATGAGTTGGCATGCTCCGCACACAACCGAATGACGTAGTTAGCTTATTAATTACTCGGCACGCACGCCACGTAGGCTTGGTAGTTTTTAGGGTCAATAGGTGCACACCATGCATATTGCCAAATTCCATGTGACTTATCAAGTCGGACGAGTCATTAAGAGTGACACATGTCGACATTTGAGACCTTCATCAAATAAATCAAATCAAGTAAAAAAAAAGCAAATTAACCATATTGATCAAATCCCTCAATTATGGTTTAATTTATTAAACTATTGATTATGATTTAATTAATGACTAAATTATATCAATTAGTTTGAATCAAATCAAATACAGCCACTCAGTACTACGGTTTGGTGATATTCATCTTTGCTTAGTAGTGAGAGTTTAGGTTCGAATATCGTGGATGGCGAATTCAATACCAAATTAGGTTGCCCATTGTGTGGCTTAACTGAACTCCCCCTCCTCCTAGTGTAAAATTATTGATGTACTAAAAAAATCAAATCAAATGCAAAAGGGGACAAATTATATCAATTAGTGTTTAATTTCCTAAATTAAAAATTTTAATTTAATTAAGAGCTAAATTAAATAATTAGCTTACATTAATTTAAATTAGAAAATCAATCCCACAAATTATGGGATTTAGATTGGGGATTCTAAACTAAGACTCAATCACCTACAAATTCTAGGCTCATTTTCAAGAAAGACGACACCAGAGAAAACGATAAATCAGAAAGCTATCTGGCCAATGCAAACACCAAACATACAAACACTCTTGTGTTATTCGTCAAGCTCGTACATAATTAACAAGCGCAACAAACACGTGTTGATCACGTGAAGCTCCTCGTGGTTCCATTGCATTCAAGATCAAGCCTCGACGTTCCTTGAAGAAATTACGAGCCCGATTAAAAATCAAGTGTTCACCACTTTTGAATCAAATTCTACTTTGGAGATCGAATTAGAGGAATATTCTTGCAAAAGAATAGCTACAAAGATTGTGTCCCTGAATTCATTAATACAAATTCATTATTTTGTACACGTGTTCTTGTTTCAATTGTTGTAGATAATTTTGTGTCTACAATATATATGCCAATCCTTCTGTTTGTCCCTCTGATCTTTGAGAGATTTTGCTGTATAACTAGGATTATATCCTCTCGTATACATCCTTCATCTTGTAATCATGAAATGTTAACACAAGTATATATCCCCAACTGTGTGTGAGAATTCTTTCCTGGTTGTATGCAAGAAAATATTTCCTTAAAATTATTTGGTTGAAAAGATACTACATTAAGCCATAAAGGCAGAGGAAACAAGGTCCTTGAATTCTCGCGATAAAGACGTATGCACATAAGACCCAAGAGTCATCAGATTGAATGTAAATTCCATGGATTATTGATCAAGTTAAGAACAAAAAAAATTAAAGATATAAGTGTATGAAAATAATAAAAAATTATCATTATAATTGCATTTGAAAGGGACGAATTTGATGACATAATATACATTAGACCATTCAGATACAACTCTGAAGGCTGAAGCCAGCTAAGGTCCAGATAGAAGCAAGTCTATAAACAATGTTACGGCTCGTGTTGTCAACTTGTCATTGTCAATTTGTCGTGGACTCACATTGCCATGTGAATTAGCGTAGTCCCCTTCCTTTTTATGTGGCAAGCCAATACTAGTAACTAGCCTCCACACGCGTTTGAAAGCTGTAGTTTTTTAATTTCTGTGATTTTTTGGAATTGAATTAAGAGCAACATCACTATGGGAAACCAACCAGACTCTTCATTATTTAATCCACCTAGTGAACAGTAACTGTTCTTAATGAACAGTAAATGTCTTTTGCATCTCCACTGTTGCACTTGAATAGCCTTGGTAATAGGTAATAAAATATTTTTTTTAAATAATACAAAATAAATTTATTTGTAATTTCGGAGAAGATTTTTAATCGTTCTCATTGCACCACGTGTCATTATTCGAAAAGACAATTATTGGTGATGGATTTCGATAAGATTTTTATCCAATGCCGTCGTGGCACATGTTGTTATCTTTTCAGAATCTTTAAGGATAGATTTCGATCAGATTTTTAACAAATGATGGCATGCCACGTGGCACTATCTACAACCTAAATCCTCCATATAATCCATCATCTATCTTCTGAAATCTCACACCAATTTTCTCAAGATCTCTATCATTATTCATAGTTTATGCTCATTCTTCACCAAAATCAAAATCTGTATCATTATTCATAGGTTCTGTTTCCTTCTTACAATGTCTTTTTCTTCAAGGATGATGTGGGAAATCGATCAGCAAGAGAAAGAATTGGTTAACCAATCAGAAGGAATGCTTCATCTCCTGGTGGCCCAAAATGAGATGGAAGATGATGAATAGCGTAGAAGAAGAGATGACGAAGCAAGAATGGCTAGAGCATCACATTCCTGTTGAGTCATCCAAGTTGTGGCTTAGATATCCAGGCCCAGCTGTTCTGGAAACCTTGATAGAAACAGGCAACGATAAGGTGCGGATATCTTAGACGATTATTTGGTCCGTAACAGTACATTCCCTGATACGTACTTCAGACGTCGTTTTAGAATGGAACAATCATGATTGCTGTTTGCAACCATGATTCTTACTTTGTGCAAAAGAATGATGTTTTTGGTGCTATGGGTCTCATTCCTGAGCAAAAAATTACTGCTACGATGCGAATGCTTGCTTATGGAGCATCTGCAGACCAAGTGGATGAGATAGCGAGGATGGGGAAATCAATCATTCTTGAGTCCTTGATGAGGTTTTGCGGAGCAATCGAATCTATCTACACCGCAAAGTACCTCCGAAAACCTACTAACATGGACTTGCAAAGGCTTCTAAAGAAGGCCGAGATGCGAGGTTTTCCTAGGATGATTGGAAGCATCGATTGTATGCAATGGACATGGAAAAACTATCCAAGTACATGGCAAGGCGCTTATGGGGACAGAAAATGAGCAAAAAGTATCATTATGGAGGCGGTGACATCTTTTGATACATGGATTTGGCACGCCTTTTTGGAGATTTCGGGAGCTTAAAATGACCTAAATGTCATTTCCCAATCCCCAATGTTCAACTATGTCCTGCAAGGAAAGGCACCAAAAGTACTGCGTCAACGAATATATGTACGACAGGCCATACTACCTAGCAGACGACATTTACCCAAGGTGGTCATCATTTGTCAAAATTGTGCCACGTTCACGAAGTGCAAAGGAAAAACACTTTGTAAGCTGTCAATAGGGGTGCAGGAAGGATGTGGAGCATTTTTTTAGTATCCTCCAAGCTCGCTGGGCGATTGTCAGGGGTGATGCGAGAATGTTTGATGTAGAGTCACTTCGATCCATCATGATGACGTGCATCATTCTTCACAACATGATTGTGGAAGATGAGTACGATTATGATGCCGTTGATGAATATGAGCCAGACATGATGAACAATTCAAGAACACGTATATATTATGCTCATGAAGCCACCCAAGAACCCGTGCAACATAAGCCATTAGAAAGGGATGGACATTACAATGAATTGATCGTTCAACGATATACTGCATTTCAAAGGCCATATATGCACAATGTCTGACAAATTGACTTGATAGAGCACCAGTGAGAATTGAAACAAACTCAAAATACTTAAGTTCATTTAGGGCGCGTTTACTAATCCATAATCAAATTGAGAGGAATTGAATTGAGGAGGAATAGAAATGAGGGGGAATCAGAATCAGATTCCTTTTGAAGTTGTTTACTAAAACTGTCTGGAATCGAAGTAGGAATGATAACTGTTTACTAATTCACATGAATCGGAATGAAAACTATTGTGATTACTAAAATATCCCTAGTTTAATTAATCTATTTTATATGCTAATTATTTTTAGTAAATCTTTATTCTTTCTTTTTTTTAAGAGAGAACCATTATTATTTTTTATTTTTTAGTAAAACTTTTATTGTTTTATTTTTAGATTTTTTAGTGGAATTCTCATGCTTATCTACAAACCCAGAACCCACTGTTCTCATCCAAATTGGCATTATCTAGAACCCACGGCTCATAGCCTCATCTCGGCAGAGAGATCACCGTTCCTACCGTTTTTTCTTCGGCGATGTGCAGGCGTCAAAGCCTGCACCTCAGTGTGGGACTCCGCAACCCCGAGCTCCAATTCAAGTCTTTTTCGGGTCTCTCTCACTTGAACTCGCTCCTCTCCTTCGGCCTTTCTGGTACCACTTTCGTTTCCTTTTGTTACTGAATTTTCTGAAGATTTGATTTTTGCTTTGGGTATGCTTGCCATTTTTAGGTTGATTTTTCTGTGTCGAATCCTATGGAGGAGGAAGTGGAGGATTTTGAGTTGGTGGAGCGAGATGAGGCAGCAGAGGAGTAAAGAGTTGCTGGAGAGGATGGCGGAGGACAACAAGAAGATGGAAAAGAGTACTGAAGGTGCATGACATTTTGGGAAGGAAAATTTGATTCCGGATGGAGCCTTCTCCCCGGAATCCAAATACTACTTTCTTCTAGGTAATCCAATTCCGACAATATCAGGAGATGAATTCTTGATTTTATGTGGGGCCCGCAGAACTGTTCATTCCGCTTAAGTTGGTAAATAGAGGAATAATTAGGAATGAAGAATGATTCCCATTCCGCCATATCCTTTCCCCCTATGTAAGCACGCCATTAGTGTGTTTGTTTTTATTTGGTGTGTTTATTTAATTTTATTTGGTGAGTTTTTTTTTAGTTCATTTAGTGAATTTTTTATTAGTTGGTATGTTTATGTAATTTTATTTGGTGTGTTTATGTCATTTGAAATAAATTACTAAATTAAATAAATTTACTCTCACTTTAAATAAAGTACTAAATTCAATAAATTGGAAACAACATAAAGTACTCTATTCAATAAATAATAAATTACAACCCAAAATGATTGGAAAATTATGGGCTCCGATTACAAAAAGTACTTTATTCATCATCACTTAACCAATTTGTGGTGCTAGGATGATATTTTCTTGTCGTGCTAGGACCATATCCTCTTGCTCTCGTTTCTCTTGCACGCCTCCTTCGCACCACTTCTGCTTTCTCCGACTTCCAAAAATATTTCACAATCTTGTTGAGCCATTTTTTCTTCTCTAACATGTTCCCTTTCTTGCCTAAGTAGCTCTATTTCCCTCTCATTAGCTTGAAATGCTTTCTCAACAGCTGCAGTTTTTGCCTTCTCTTTAGTCTTGTCAGCCTCAAATTTCGCCATTTTCCGCGCCAAAGTCATTTGACCTTGGTGAGCAAGTTCTTCCATATACTTTGCATACTCATTCTTGGAAGCACTCATTTTTCTCTTTGAAGCCTTCTTACCTTGAGACCTAATTGGATAACGGGTTGGCCACAACGCTTATTCAGGGGGCATTTCGAGCACTTCTTCTGCATCATCTTCATCAACATGCGAGGCATGATCGGGTATAAAGTGTAGAGGGGTGTTGTTCATGAAAACTTCTGGACCGACAGTCACAACTCTGAATTTAGGACAATCTTGTGAATGATTTGTTTTTGCTTTTGCGTTTGGCATTACACCAAACTTGTGCTTGAAGTTCCTACACAATGCGGGAGAAAAAATAATTATAATAAAAGTAGGTAACAAATAAATAATACAAACAAATAATTATAATGAAAGTAGGTAATAAATAAATAATACAAACAAATAATTATAATGAAAGTAGGTAACAAATAAATAATACAAACAAATAATTATAATGAAAGTAGCTAACAAATAAATAATACAAACAAACAAATAATATATTGTTACCTGATCCGCTAAAATTTCCCCACTTCGAATATTACCACTAGATTGTGCCAAGGCATCTCTCCACATACTAAACGATTGGCTAAGTATTTTCCAACGACCGGACATTGATTCTTTGGTTCTTTTCCCACCCATTTTCTCAAGATAATTGGTATGAATAAGACTCCACATTTCTCGCAACTGCATCTCATTACCCGTAAGCGAATTATGAGTAACTTCAACCCAGCTTCTACACAACGCAACATCTTCAAGAAGCGTCCAATTCGTACCTGCATTGGTAGTCATTTTGTTGGAAAAAAATTGGATTGAAACTTTGAGAGAAAGATAGGAATGTGGTTGAAAGTAGTTGAAAAAAATATGAAATTGTGGTGTAAGGTAAAAGATAATGAGAAAGTATTTATAGAAAAGTAAAATCAATTTTTTTTAAGGTTCGCGTCTATACGTGTAGTGTGGTGGTTGGGCCTACCCACCCTATTTGTTCCATGATCTATGGGTCTACTGGAGCTACCCACTTCGATCAATTAGCCAAATTTTTTTTTAATTTTCAAAATTTTTTTCCGAATTTGTATTAATTTTTTACATTTTTAAAAATTTTATTCACCTAATTAATCTCTGACCGTTGATATCAGATCCAATGGCTAAAATTAAATAAGGTTTTTAATTTTTTTTTACCGTTGGAAATCCAACGGCCCAAAATTTGTTACCGTTGAAATCCAACGACTAAGGGAAGCCACGTGGCTGCCCAATGGTAACATTTTTTAATTGTGCCGCGGGCCCAATTTCTGCAATTTTGTCTGCCGACGCGCGCCCACACGCGCATGAGGCCCACGCACTTGACAGAAAAAAATTTAAAGAAAAGCTGACGTCTAGCCGACATCAGCTATGCGTCAGGAAGCCTTCGGGCTGGCAATTTGTGCCAGGCCTCTTCCTCGGGCTGGCACACGCTGGAGCAAGCAGACCGGGCTATTACCCTTTGTTTTGGGGCCTGTCGCTGGGGCTACTCCACATGGTGGAGCTGCTCTAAGAGCTCATTTGTATGTGTTTTTAAATTGACTGAAAGCATTTTTTGTGAAAATATTTTAGAACCAATTATTAGTAAAAATGCAATTAAATCCTGAAAAATGACTTAAAGTGCAGAAAGCACTTTAAATGTTTTTAGAATTCAAAAACACTTTCTCAAAAAGCACTTTCAAACATTTTAAAAGTATATCTAAATGAGTCATAAAATCCTATTGAAGCACTTGGCAGCCAAGCAATTAGAAAATTAAAAGATAAAGACCGCAGTTTTTTTTTTTTTTTTTTTTTTTGAAGTAATTAACTGGTTGCAGCAAGAAGGATCACCCACAAAACTGCAAAGAAAGAGCACTAGGTATAACTTATTTCCAGACGGAATCAATATTTATTTGAACAACAACACTCAAGAGCATAGGCAAAAAGACTACATGGCCCTGAAAAAACGTGCAAGTCGCAAAATATTTGTGTCACATGTTTATCATGTTCACAAGGTTTACAGAGACCGTTTTTCAACAGGATGAATATTTTAAAGGTGATTTTAGCCTCGGACTTGCTCCTGTATAAGTGTCCGTTTTGTATCGGACTCTCTTATAAAAAAATGTGACTTTGACTCACGACAAATGTGAACTTGATACACACAAGATTAAGATGACCTAAACAATAAAAGCTTTTTAGCTAAAATGATTAATGAGATTGACATAATTCTTCATTTTGGTCTCTAACAATGAAAATCAATAGAAGTGGTCTCTGAGTGTCCACCGAAATCATTAAAAAAATTGTCAATATTCTTATTAAGCATAGTGGTTGGTTTGACAAAAAATATCCTTAAAAAGATTGTCACGTGGTCGTTCACATGACAATTTAACGAGGATATTAACAGATTTTTCATGAAATGACCAAAATAATTTACAGTTGACAAACTCATAAATCACTTCTATCGATTTTTATTGTTAGAGATAATAAATTATGCCAACAATAAATTCAATACAGGACAACGTTTCGAGACAAAATCTCCTATATATAAACTTTTGGGATTAGCCAAAATATTAAAGGAGTTGCAGAGTAACAAGTTAGTAGTATGATAAGATTTGACTGACTGACCATGTAACCAAAAAAGATTTTTCAATTATCTGCCTAAATAGAAAAACATCCTGAATTTCCTAAAACTTCACTAGTTCACTTGTTAATAGCAACCAAAAAGTACACTAGTGAAGGGCAACATCAAATGAAATGAAAAATTTCCAGCCCCAAGTTTACTGTATAATGTCGGGCGCAGTACATACCCACATTAAACATCTCATGGTGTGAGGGCACATCAATGGCTCTGGATTCCTGGTGGGGGGGTGGTTTCTTTCTTTTTTCATATAATTTGCAGATGTTTGTTGTGTGTGTGTCGCTTTGGATCCCTCATGCTCTTTACTTCAGCCAAAAGGCCCAAGAGAGTTTTGATTTGGGTTTCGTTTCAGTTCATGAAAATTGAAACAAAACTTCCATTTCCTAGGCCACTACAGCCTTTAAAAATTGGGTAGGGAACAACGGAAGTTAATTTGAAACAAATAAAAGATGGCCCAATTTTGACCCCATTATTGAGCTTGGGTTTTGCCAAGCAATTGCTATTCACCCTCTTAACCTTGTACTTTTTTTCTGATTAATCCTCTTCAAGCCTTCGAAGTTTTGATTCGGGTAATAATTTAATTTAATTTAAACTACAGAGAGAATGATTCGAACTTAACACTAGGTGTACTCCTTTAAAATGTGTGCTCTGTTCTTTGCAGCAATCTCATGTTTGACTGCTCCATACAAGATTTGCTGCTCCAACCGTGAGGGGGATGCTAGAGTATAGGATGGATTGCTGAAATTGTGAAAAATTGTTAGTGTTGTTATGTGAGAGCAACTCCACCGTGGGAGCCCTCCCTCCTAGGCAATACACTATGATATCCATCCAATGAATAGTAACTGTCCTAAATGAACAGTAACCGCCTTTTGCATCTCCACCGTTGCACTTCAATAGCTCCGGCAATAAGCAATAAAATATTAGTATTTTATTTATTTATAAAATAATACAAAATAATTTTATTTGTAATCTCGGATAAGATTTTTAATCGTTCTCGTTGTGACATGTGTCATTATCCGAAAAGTTATAAAATACTACAAAATAATTTTATTTGTAATTTCGGATAATAGTTGAGAAAGATAGGAATGTGATTGAAAGTAGTTGAGAAAATATAAAATTGTGGTATAAGGTAGATAATAATGAGAAGGTATTTATAGAAAAGTAAAAACAAATTTTTTTTCTGATTTTTTACAATTTTTTTAAATTTTTTTATTCAACTAATTAATTTCTGCCGTTGGATTTTAAAAAAAAATTGAATTCCAACACTCCAGATTGTGCCACGTGTCACAATGGTAACATTTCTGATTTTTAAAACTATTTTTTCTTTTTTATTTATTTATAAAGGCTAATAATATCAACCGTTGATCTCAGATCCAACGGTTGATATTAAATAAGGTTTTTTTATTTTTATTACCATTGCAAATCGGACGGTCCAAAATTTTTTGCTGTTGAGATTGAACGGACCGTGGGAAGCCACGTGGCTTCCCAACGGTAACAATTTTCAGTGGGTCGCGGGCCCTAATTCCTGAAATCCTGTTGGCCCACGCGCCCATACGCGCGCTTGAGGGGCAAGCGCCTAATAGAAAAAAATAAAAAAAGTGGCTGACATCTGGGTGATGTCAGCCATGCGTCATAAAGCCCTCGGGCTCTCGGGCTGGCAACTCCTGCCAGGCCCCTCCCTTTGGCCGAGCCTGTCCCTCGGGCTGCCACACGGTGGATTCTCTCACTCGGGCTCTACGACCCTGTTCACCAGCCTTTCCCTCGAGCACCAGCCAACGTTGGAACTGCTCTAAGAGAATTACTCTCTCTCTCTCTCTATGTAATTCAATCAA